AAAGTATTGTGTCCATCTACAATTAAAAAAAATTTTAAAAGAAACAATCTGCAGACAGACCTATTATTTATTTGAAACTGTTTACAAATATCTACATTTAAGTTATGTAAGAGGTATGACGCCCCTTGGTACCCAAGTGAGTAACGTCTCTAATAAAAATATAGCTGGTGTTTACTGAGCATCTTTAGGTGCCAACACATGTGGCACGCCCAGCATGGGCTGATTTATGCAGTCCTGACAACAACTCTACCAAGACAGTGCTGTGGTTATTCCCAGTTTGTAATGACTATTGTTATTGTCCCCATTTAAAATGAGAAAACCAAAGTACACATGGAAGTTAAATAACTTGCCCCACTTACACATCTGGGAAGCAGCAGATCCAGCATTGAAACCCAGGCAGTCTAGTCCAGAATCTCAAAGTCCTAGCTGCTTTCCTATATTGTATTTCATAATATAATTGTGTAAGATGTTTCTTACCATCTCTGGCTGTTAAAAATGGGTTTGACAATGTGAAGACTATAATGTAAGAATGCTGATGGAATCAACTGATATTATATGCCTGAAGAGAACTTTGGGAATTATAAAGCATTATATCAGTATCAGCAATGACAGAAGGAAGGGAATGCTGAGTGTGGGGCCTCCCACCCACTTAGAAGCAAGTGTGTCAAGTGCGGGTGCTATATCTCTGGTTGAGGAGGCCAAAAAGGCCCTGTGGAAGACTTCCCTTCCTGGATAAAGGACACAATATTGGAAGATCTTTGTTACTAACTTCTTCCTTATCTGGGATGTGGCTGTAGTGTCTAAATGTTTAGTAATGACTCTGTAGCTACAGAGATGAAAGCCACCCTCTCAGGATGAGGAGAGAGAAGATATCATAGAACAGCTTCTCAGCCAACTGCTCACCCCACATTTCTTAGAAAAGACACAAATAAGCTTGAATGTGCTGCACAGGCTGAGAGATTTGTTTCATCCTAGCTCCTTCCTTTGATCTTTTAGTCTTCATTCAAAGAATTAACAAACCCTTAGACCAAAGCCTCATTATTGCAAACATCCTGGAATATTTTACAGAAGGCTTCCTATTTGGACTTCCTGCTTCCAGATTCACCGCACAAGTAACCTAACCTCCATGTTCGGCCAGAATTTTTTTTTTTCTTTTTTTTTTTACTAAAACACAAGTCTAACTGTGTCACTCTGCTGCCTAACTTGCTGTCATGACTCCACTTAACTCGAGATACAGAGTGCAAAAATGAAGGGTTGCATGGTTGACTCCTGATGCCATTCTGTTCTATCTGCCACTCTATTCAATGTGCCCTCAGGCCTGAGCCAATATCAGTACCTCCTCAAAAGAGCATGGTTTTCCTCTAGGAACTTCATGATTCCTGTGCCTAGAAGATCCTCCCTCCTCTTCTCCCCTCCCCTCCTGTAATATTCTGACCACATGGGGGTAAGATTCCTACTTCATAAGTCACATCAAAATAAATTCAAATGAATAAAATTTAAAAGTACAAAAACAAAACCATAAATGTACCAGCAGAACATATGCACAATAATTTCCCCCTTCAAATTAGGAGTCTCAACAAACTACAACCTAAAGGCCAAATTCTGCTACAGCCTTTTGTTTGTTTTTAAGTATCCTACAATTTTTCATTCCTAAACAAAGGAAATAGAAGTCTCCATAATCCACTGAAGCAAAAAGCTTCTGGAGTCCTTTCTAATTCTCATTTTGAAAGTTGAAAAGGTCCTGGGTTATGCCCAGGTATAACTGGGCCATGTTTTGTTCTGACCTCACAAGAAGCCACCATGAGGGAATTTCAAACACCACAGACAACCTGTAAATAAGTGGACATGGTGTGTCCTAATAAAACTTCATTTGCAAAAATATGCCTCAGAGACCTCTGGGAGGGGCCTAAAGATTAGGAAAGAGATTCCTTCTGGCCAAAGCAACCAGCTCAAACTGAATCATGGCTACACTGGTTAAGGGGAGAATCTCCATCTACACTAAGAGGAGCAAGTCTCCATCTACAATGACCGAAGGCAAGTGAATCCTCACTACACTGACTCAAGGAACATATTACAGGAATGTAAAGGGCTGGCTGTGGCTCTTTTGTCCATAAATACAGGAAGCACTTGATGGTGACCCATCAAACTCCCAGATAGAGCATTTGGTGGTTGTGGTCTTTTGATATTCATTATTTGATTTGGGTTTCTGTTTTGTTTTGTGGGGTCTAGGTGTGTATGTATGTGTGTATGTGTGTTGTTTTGTTGTCGCTGCTGTTTTATCTAGCATCCTTAGTTGGTGTAGTAAGAATAGTCAGAGTAGTGTGGTGCTGCAGGAGCCAACTCCTGCTATGAGAATACCTTAACGGTCCATTATCAGGCCCTGAGACACATCAGGCAGGGGGACTTTGGCCAGGTAAATCTAGTCTGTCACCTTTTCACCAGTACAGGGGTGGCAGTGAAAATCCTGCTAAAGGTAGAAAAGAACTTCCTGTTTTATCTAAGCCAGATATACTAATGACTGTGGAACACTAAAATGTGATCCAGCTCTTTCAGGTCATTGAGCCCAAGGAAAATAATTATATTATCATGGAGCATGCAGGTGGAAAACAGCTATGGCACCACATCTAAGAGACTAGTAGGAGGAAGAGGCCTGGAGACTATTCAAGCAGATTGCAAGCACCATGCACTACTGCCACGAGAAGGGCATTGTGCATCAAGAGCTGAAGGCGAAGAAAACCAGATGGATGCCAGAGGCAACATCAAACTCATCAACTTCAGCCTGAGTACCAGGTGCACAGCTGGGCAGAAGCTGAACAAATTTTGGTATTCTCTCCTGAACCTTGCCCTGAAGTCATCCAGTGGTAAGAATATGACTCCCCCCTCTTTCCCTGGCTGAAGTCTGGAGCCTTGGTGTAGTCTGTATTTTATGGTCACAGAGAGACCCCCATTTAGGGGGACCACCATTAAGCAGCTGAAGGAGCAGATCATGCACATAAGGTATGACATTCTCCTGCACATTGCCAAGGGAGCACAGAGCCTCATCAAATTCTGATGGTGGACCCCATGCAAATCATGGGCACCCATAGCTGAGTCAGGGTGAGGAATATTCACCCAATTATTCTAGTGAGCCATTCCCCAAACACTTCAGACTCTGCAATTATGATAATCATGCTTGACATGGGTTATTATCCATGTAATACTTGGGTGTCCCTGGAAAATCAAAAAAAGGATGAGGTAATGGCTACATACCTGATACTTCAGCACCAGAAAACTCAGGGGGCAGGCTGCATGTTCCAGGTAAAATTTGTACTTTGGAGGACTGGGCCTTGCCCAGGGTCTGCAGATCCTTTCCCTGTCCATCCAAAGAGGGTGCCTGTGAGCCTGCATTTCCCACCTTCCCCTTGCCCTGTGAGCAGCAGCTGCCTGAGGAGGTCAAGCAGTCACTGTATAAGGGCAATGGAAGGGCCATCATGCCTACCATTCACCTCTGCTCCCTGTGCACATGGACCTCACTCCCAGCATGGCCTCACAGCGTGACCCTGTGTTCCCCAGGCTCAGCTCCTGGAGGATCATGAGTAGATGGGGCATAGAGAGCAGTAAGTCCTCCCAAGGTGCCAAGTCAGAAAAAATCTTACCCTCCACAGGACAACCCCATGACAACAGCAAAGGCTAGAAGTGGGAGACTAGAAGGATCACCACCTGCATAAAACAGCTGTGTTGTTGTATGCCATGCTTCTGTGGGTTGGCATTCAAAAGAAAGAAAGGAAGGAAGGGGGAGGAAGGGAGAGAGAAGGAGAGGGAGGGAGGGAAAGAGGGAGGGAAAAAAGTGGCTGTAATGAAAGGAAAGCATAAATATGCTAGATTCAGTGACTCCAATGAAAATGGAGATATGAAAGAGACAAAAACCAGTGGACAGCCAGAGGACCTTGAGCTCTGAATCCTGGTGTCATGGTGTGGATCTGTCAGGTGTGGAACAGTGAGGTGTGGAAACTGGCTGCAGGAATGAGGTGTGCAAACTGACTCAGGCTTCTCTGTAAGGATTACAGCCAGGAGCACATCTGGATCCACCAGGAGTATCCTCTGCTCCCATTTCGAGCCAGTATAAATGGGGATTCACTTCCTTGAGCCAATGTAGACAGAGACTTGCTCCCCTTGACTTAGTGTAGATAGAGATTCTCCCCTTAAATCCATGTAGAAATGATTCACTTTGAGCTGATTGCTCTGGCAAGAAAGAATCCCAGTCTTCAGACCCCTCCCTGAAGTCCCTGTGGCCTGTTCTGCAAATAAAGTTTATGGGAACACAGTCATGCCCACTTGTATACAGGTTGTCTGTGGGCACTTTTGCACTCGGTGGTGATGTCAAATAGCTGGGCTATGACCTGCAAAGCCTAAAATATTAACTAACTGGCCCTCAACACAGAAAGTTTACTGACCACTGACTAATTAAAGGACTAATAAAAGGCAGATCATACTGAAATGAGAAGATGGGAACTTCTGAGTAAATAAAACTTAGAAACTATTGATACCATAAACACAAACAAAAATGAAAGTCAAATGAAAAACTGGAAAGCACGTTTGAAATAGGTATGATGTATTACAAGTTTACCAAAGGAAACAATTAACAAATAGGAAAACGGATAAATGATTTCAATAGCAAATGGAAAAATAAAAGGGGAAATTAATATGATGCAATATTTTCTATCTTGTTATCAATCAAAGAAAGGCAAATAAAAGAATGTATTGCTTCACAATTTACCTGAAAAATCAGCAAATGTTGTTAAAATAGCAATACTCTATTGGCAAATGTTCATGAAATGGTCAGTCTTCAAAGAGATAATAGGAACCCAACTTATGGTTATACTTTTAGAAAGAAATTTGACTTAAAAAATCAAAGCTATTTCTAACTAAAGAAGCTGTCAGAATTAGGAAATTGCTATTCTAGTAATAGTCTAAAATATATCTTGTTCTAGGGCAACAAGGTTTTGGGTTTCAAAACTTACGTTTTTCAGGAGAAACATGCGACTTTGACTGTCCCCGCACCAGCCTGCAGGTGGAGCCATCTCCAGCACAGACACCACAGTTGTCCTCCTTAGCATCACTCCCGAGTTGCCGATCGCAGCCCACTGCCTGCAAAGGAAGGACCAAGTGGTCAAAAGCAGGTGAAATCACAGAGGCACAACTATGAGAAAGTCTCCCCTTTATGAAAACATAGTAGAAAATCTTAGGTATGTCATTTATATAATTCTTATGCAAGGACCATAAAAGAGATGAAGCTGACCCTCTAACCCTGCTCTTTTTTAATTTATATTTTATCCAGATACTTTTAAGTATATAAAATAAAAAGAAGCATTATAGATGTTTCCTCTTTGTCTCCCCACCATTTTTTTTATCTCCCTATCCCCAAAGTTGGTCCATTCTCTCATTTCCTCCCCCAAACAGCCGCTATCTGAAACTGGTATACATCCTTCTGTCTGTGCTCTCTACAGCTACCCATATTCTACATCTATGTATCTGTATCTTTATTCTATATTTTTACATCTCCTTTTTATCATTATCTATGTCTTTGCCTGCATATCTCCACTTTTATATCATTATATCTATATATTTATGAACAATTTTTGAATAGATGTCTTATATGTTTACACTGTTATTTTCCAGTTTTCAGAGTTATTTAGCACGTGGATGTATGTGTTATTTTCTATACTGTGAGCCTTCTTTGTAAGAAAAAAGTTGAGTTTTATATTTATATATATTTCACAAATCTTTTACATTATGTGTGCAAAATGAACTGATACGACTATTTATTTCTGCTTCCCATGCTCATCCAACTTTACATTTGTAAACCTGGTTTTAAGTCCAGAAACTGTAGAGGCAGAGGGCCATGTATGCATCCTGACTTACCCACTATGCCTTTAAAAGCACAGGACCATTCAGACTCTCAGAGACTGATTTTCCTCAACAGTAAAACAGAGATAATAATGCAAATGTGTACTTCACAGAAGCCTAGCAAAGATTAAACGAGAAAATATATGCAAAACTCTCAGTGTAATTATTAACACATGACAAAGGGTTGAACAAAAGGTCAATTTTATTATTTACTTCTGCATTCCACTTTTTTTGACTGCAGGCTAGCCCCTGTGCTTTGATTTAAGGAGGTGCTGAATCAGACTCTACACCCAGGGTGTTGAAGAGAAAATAAGACTGGAGGAAGTTCAAACCACATCTAGAGACTATTCTTTCCAAAACTTAGTGTTGAAGGGAAGGAGAAAGATGAAATGAAATTTTCAGGGAGAAGTAGGAAAAGTTCCAAGGAGCTCTAGGGAATAGCTTGTGTTTAGAGATATTTTCAAATTCACAAAGATCTGTCATGAGGAAAGGGTCTCCATTTGTTCTTTATGTTTCCAAACCGGTGAAAGCTATAAATTTAAGCATAATTTAGTTCGATATGAGAAAGTTTAAAAAGTCAGAGGCTTCTTGGCGGGAAAAAACATAGAGGGGATTAAATTATTGGATGGGTGGCTGAATCCAATTACTTTTGAGATCCTTTGACTCTGCTTACATGATTTTATAAAGAAACTAATAAAATATTAATAATAACTGTTTTTTATAGAATGTTTACCAGGTACCTGGCATGCCTTATGTGCTGTACACGTTATTTCACTGAATCTTCACAACAATCGTATGATTTAAGTGCTACCTTCTATCTCCACATTACAAATGAGGACTCTGAAACATTACTGAGGTTAAATGACTTGCCAACATTACACAGCAAGGATATGGTGTCAATATTGGTTTTAAAACTCAGGTCATCTGACACCAAAATCTTAATGCTGTTATTATACCTTCCTCCACCTTGAGGATCAGCAGATGGACAGCAAAGGTTTCAGTCATACGGGTCATTATTTGAATATTTACAAGTACATGTGGAACAACTTAAGAGTGATTGATTTTGGAAACATACTTGCATGGTTGGGATTTGACCAGTGAGTAACTGTGTTCATACAACTTTCTCCAAGGGGAATAATTCTACCATGAAATTATAGAAATACTCTTCCTGGGCCAAGCTGTGTCCTCACAAATCCATGTCCCTGAGCACTTTGCATTTCATGAGAATGAGAATCACCCTCTATCTGGTCATCCAGGAAGGGTGTGGGTTTAGGAGCTAGGACGGGCTTGTTTTGAAGAGCGTTCAGGGTCTTGCAAAATCTCAGGCAATCAAATTCCTCCCTGATCACTTATACTTGCTTCATAAGTTTTTTAAAGTTAAAATTCATCCAAATCTTACAGCCAAATAAAGCATATGAAAACATCACAGAAAAATGGTATTAGAAAAGAAAGTTCGGTTGCCTTGTGATTCATAGAGTATATCCCAGAACTGCCCTTGAAATTGAAGGATGACTGAATTTTGGCTGTCATAGCCCACCATAATCAACAACAAGCAACTTTCATGAAATTGCCTGAAACATTTTCAACTTCTGTGCCATCTCCTGATGTCAGGATATCTAATTACAGTGATTTATAAACTCTAATGGATAAGCATACCAATAAAATGTATTAATATCTAATAAATAACAATTTTCAGTGCTGAGTATAAATTAATAAGACTCTTATCTTACAGTGTAGTTAATAAGACAAGTTACAAGATAAGGGTAACATAAACAAATATTTTAAATATATGAGCAGGGTGTTTTGAATTAAACATTCATCTAGAAATCATAATTTGGGGTAAGAAGTATTTCACAGTTCCTACATGATTTCCTAATCAGCTTCTTAAAAGAAAAGAATGTTTAAATAAGTGCCATTAATCCAAATTAAGCAAAACATGAATTTTCCAGATAGATCTAATTTAATACTTGAAACTAATTTTTTTCAATCAACTTCTGCTTCAGATTTGAGAAAACTGGATTTTATCTAAGAAAAATTCTAACATTTCAGGCTTAAAAATCAGAATGCATGGAGTTGTGGTAGTCATTAGGGATATTCATAAACATTTCTTTCTTTCAGCCCAGGGAAGGACTACACTTCCCCACACCTGCTAGAAGTTACAAGTGTTCACTGTCTTTGACTAATGAAATAGGAGCCTAAACAATCTGTATCCCTTATTATTATTGTATAAAAAATGCGTTCAAATAAAGCCTATCAGCCTGAGTCTCTGGGACATCCAAAGAGCAGAGACCCACTGAACTGTTGGGCAAGTAGCATTCATGAGAAGTAACCTTTAATTGTGTAAGCCCCAGAGCTTGGGGGTTTAATGGTTTCTGCAGGAAAACCTTGTGTATATTACACAGCAGTACAATTTAATCATTCGTTCATAAAACACAGTTATTAATAGCAAGGTAATTTTAAGAATTGAAAGTCTCACATTAAAATCCAGATTTGGGGATTGACAAAAAAAAAAAAAAAAAGAAACATTACCACAGCTGCTTCCTTCATAATGAGCAGGCATGTTCCAGTTCTCCAGCCCTCTCCACTCACAGAACACACCTTAGTAGTCTCCCTCCCAGGGAGGATGCAGACATTAAATTTTGAATCTCTACACTAAACTACCTAAGCATGATTCCCAGGTTTTACTAACTGTCCTTTACTAGAATTAATTTCTATTTTCAGTTAAACTGTGGCTATACTTGTAGCCATATAGAAAGTATCATCAGTATGGTGCAGTGGTTAAGAAGATGGATTCTGGAATTAGGTTGCCCGGGTTGTCAACTCTGTTGTTTTCTAGCTCTGAATGTTTGTGTCCACCAGAACTACATGTACAAAAACATAACCTCCAGGGTAATGTATTAGGAAGTGGGGCATTTGGAGGCTAGTAGGTCATGAGGGTGGGGCACTTATGAATGGGACTAGTGCCCTTTAATAAGAGGAATAGTTAATAAGAGGAGTAGAGACTCCCTTGCCCCTTCCACCACATGATGTCATGGCCACCTATGAACCAGAAAGTGGGCTCTCACCAGACCCTGAATTTAACAGCGCTTTGATCTAGGATTTCTCATCTTCCAGAACTATAAGGAACAATCTTTTATTATTTATAAGCTAGTTTGTTATAGCTGATCAAATAGACTAAGGCACTCTTAAACCTGGGAAAATTGCTTAGCTTCTTCAATTTCCACTTTCTTTATAAATCTACTTCATCAGGTTATTTTTTATATTAAAGTGCTTAGAGAATGCCTGGAAAGCACACAGCATTCATTGTGGTTGTTGTTATTATTATTATTTTGGTACCAGGGATTAAACCCATAGGTATTTAACCAGAGGCCATATCCCCAACCCTTTTTAAATTTGCTTTTTGTTTTTAAATTTTGAGACAGGATTTTGCTAAGTTGCTGAGGGCCATGCTAATTTGCTGAGGCTGGATTTAAACTTGTGATCCTCCTATGTCAGCCTCCCAAGCTGCTGGGATTACAGACATCCACCACAGCACCTAGCAGTTTATTATTTTTATTATAAATTCTAAGCGGTTTCTTCCTCCACTCAACTTTCAAGGAATTCAATATATATAAATGATAAATCAAATTTGTTTGCAGTACTGGTATGATAAAAATCAGAAGAAAAGGCAAATTTTAGCCAGTGGCACAGTCATCCCCTGCTGTCTGCTGTGCTCAGGCTAGTAGAAAGTTGTTACCAGAGAGCTACGACATGTAGATGTAAATGAGCAAACTGTAAACACACCTGCAAAAATCATTTGTAGTCTGTGCCACGTAATCCTCAGGCTCACTTCCTAAAGCCAGCAGAGCAAATCACACTTTCTTTCCCCAATGACTATGATGTCCATAGCCATATTTACAAGAAAGGGAATTTATGTGACAATAAAATTGAGTCAAGGTCATGGAAGGAAAGATACTGTTTAAAGGAAGGCACTGAATTCAACTGAGAAGCATCTGAATCACTTCTAAGGAAGAACATCCAACTTCTTTTACTTGGAAAGCCTGGCCAAAAGAGCAACCAGCTTTTTGCAACCAGGTATCACCTGTTATTGCCCTCCAAATGGGCTTTTCACAAAACTATAACATGAAGGGGCTCAGTTAAAATGGGCTAATTCATCATTGAAAACCAGCTTTCTCCTGCAGGCCCCTTCAAACCCAGGATTATTCTGGAGTAAACTATGGCACTGGACTGAGATCGTGAAT